TGTTTGGCTATGAAAAGAATCTCTTAGAGCAGCGCGAGACAAAACTAAGTTTTAGAAAAGGTGAATCACTTTCCTCCTAGTTGTTCGATCTGACGTTTTAAAAAGAAATATTTTGAATCTATCTGGCGAAATCAACTACAGTTGCGTTACTTTTACCACCCTTCTGTATCATTTGTATGCCTCTTCACAAAGGACGGAAGCTATTAGACCAGTTGCCTGCACCAGAAAATGCATTGAAGTGTCAGTAAAAATAAGAACTGATTTCCTGAGAAGCTATTTGTCTACGTTCCATATGTACCTAAAATTGTGTGTTTGTACCGAATGTACTTTCAAACTAAATAAAGGTACGATTGTAACTACTTTTCCATCACTATAGGTAATACAACAGCTGATTTCGTGAACACCAAACTCAATACCGTAATTTAAAGCCTAATTGCCTCTGCTAATTGGCCTGTTTGAACATATACTACGTTTACACGCACGCATTATTTGCAAATAACAATTTGCAAAATGGTAAATTTTGCCGTATAAACGCTGAGTTAATTTTTTATTTGCAAATAACTAAATCACGCAAATAAGTATTGATTAGTGCTACTATTAGCAAATAAGTGCAAGACGCTGCCATTCTTAGGGCCGGTTACTCAATGTCTGGTTAACACTAATCTGCGGTTAAACATCGTTATCGACGTCTTCGACTCCATGCATATAGTTTCCTTTTCGATGGTCATATTATTGCCTTTTTATAATCAGGCAATATTAAAAAAGAATTTTTCACCATCGAATAAACAGTGAGTTAGGTATTTGCAAATTATTGTTATTTGCAAATAGCTTACGTATAAACGTAGTAATAGTCTTAGTGCTAAAAACACTAGCCTGGCAATGCCGAAAAAGCTTTTTATTGTCTTTGGTAGGCAACTGTCAAAACAATAACCTGGACAATAACCGGACAGGCAAGGAGTTTTGGTTAATTCAAAATAAAAAATAAAAAAATTACGAATTAGAGGCAATTACATATTTAGTACTGACTAAATTTTATGCTCATGTGTGACGTTCCTGAGACTAGCTAGCTTGCAGGGCGTGGTGGCGCGCCGGCTTGGTTGGGCAAGTATCAATAACATCATAAATATCCACAATTCTCCTAGGGTCAATTTGCCGGACGCGCTGAGCCTATTTGGAGGGAATCACCAAAAAAAAAAAGCTTCGGCGATTGCCATGGAACAGTGCTCCCATAACATGTCTCAGCTACTGTCTTGATTATTTTGAAAACAGTAAACCGGACAATGATCTGATGTATGGAGACAATAATCTTGACGTCTTATGCAAGAAATAAGAGAAATTCATAACAAAATTACTGGCATAAATAAAGAGTCCCTGATGTGTATGTAACTATGACTCTTCTTTTTTATTTTTTAGTTTCTAGCTTAAAGAGCTCTCGCGAAATGCGTATTTCTGCAACTTATAATTCAATGTTCACGCTCGACATTTTGCTCAAAGAGGATTGTCTTGACTATTGTGGCTACGCCACGGAGACAATTACCAGCGTGTTTGACAACTAATACGGATTTCTTTAATGTCTTGACAGCATTGTCTGATGTAAACAAGCCGTAAAGTGCAGTTCTTTTACGAGGCTCGCAAATTTACGAGCTTTAAGCTGCCTTTACCTGAGGCGATTTTTCGATAGGCGATAATCGCATGCAAAAGTTGACTTGCTATCTACTTTGAGGCAAGCAATTTTTGAATCACTATTTATAGAGCGATTTTTCCAGAGCAATGTTGAATCGCCTGGAAAATCATCTCTTGTAAAGGCAGCTTTACGAGGCTTTTACGAGTTTAAGGGAAGACCCTTAAAGTGTGTTTGCATTGTTTAACATTGCTTTCAACATTTGCGTTCAACTCAGCGCAGGGTTGCACGAAAAAGAAGTTAATGGCTAAAAATATCAAAATATTTTACATAAAAAGGTGTTTGCATTGTTCAACTTTGCATTCAACTTGTGGTTGAATGGCCTTGCAACTAACCGCTTTCAACACAGTTGGTCGGCAGCCAACATTTAGCCATTCAACTTTTCTCGTGCAACCCTGCACGTTGAATGCAAAGTTGAACCAAGAACGATAGAATACAAGATTGCGCATTCCCGCAGAATGGCATTTGTGGCAACGGGTAAACAAAGAATATGGCGTTGTGAATTTGCAGTGAGAAAACGTGTTTTCTTCACGATTCACCAATTTCTCAAGCCATCTTTGAATATAGCAAATTAAGCACAACGTTAGCAAAAAATATACAACCACTCTTGAAATGTGTTCAAAAGAATAGGTCTTATAAATTAACTATTTAGAATTTTTGTGTTTGTATTGCAGGTGCCGAAAAAGTGATAATATCTTGTCGCAGCGCATGTTTTCCTGCAGAAAGTGGTCGATGCTTGCTTACCTCCGATTTTAATTTGTAATTTGTGGTATTTCAACGTTTTCAACTTAACATGTCGTGTTTAAAAGTGGTCCGTAAAGTGCTTCATGCATATTACGCTGGTGTCTAAATTGTATGTACTGGCCAAGGCGTCGTCGCAGCGAAACAAAAAAAAAAAACTGCATTTGGGGGCTTTACCCCTACGGCTGCTGCAATTCAACACACGACACGACATTTTTATAAAGTTTTTATTACAAATAAAACGTTTTTTACTTCAGAACGCACGAATTACATCGATTTTTCACTTGAAAGTACACAATACGTTTGCACTTGTTTCTAAACAAAAAGTTTGTTTACGTATTGCCATAAATGTCAAAGTCGGCAAAACCAAAGTAGCGGTTTAGGGAATGCGCCACCTTCTGTTCATTACACCATGAAGTTGAACAATGCAAACACTGCTTTAGAGTTTTTTTGTCTTTAGAGAGGCATATTGGCCTTAAATTTATGCTTAGGGGATTCCCTTAAACTCGTAAAGTCTTAAACCGTGTAAAACTCGTAAGTTTGCGAGGCTTTTTGGGAACGCCACCTTTGCGAAAAGGTGTTAATAGGTGCGTAAAGTAAAAGATTGCCAGATCAACCAGGATTTTGTGAAGCAAGTTTTGTTTAGTAGTATTTTCCATAACATCCCGCCATCTTGTCTCTATCACTCTTGGCTAAAATACAGTTAGTGGAGGAAATTCATTAATTATTTTCGCGTAATATATTTTTCATTTGTTTTCATTATTTAATCATACATTTTAGTATAGAAGTTTCGGCTTCTCGGGAACACTGAAGTTTACGAGGTCGTTTGCGTATCAAATTTTCCTCCGAGCGGTATGCGAGCTCTCGCTTGCTTTCAACTTTCATTTTTGTTGTTGGACAGCTATGTCCTTATTTCGCAGAATTCTTCAGAGTAGCAACATCGTTTATTTTGGAGGCA